AAAGGACTGGGGAGCAGCTATGTTGGAAAAGGATCTTAGAGATTGATTGATGTGTTGGTCACAAAGGTATATACATTTGATATGCAAATCACTATGTGCTTTATGTACTTTAAACAGATACATGCAAATTATTTATTAATAAAAGATAATAATGAGACAGCACTGCACTTCATTATGGTTATAATTAAAGTAAAAGAATGAAGAGAAATGCCAAGTGAAAATGGAGAACAATTGGAATACTAGTAAATGGCTGATGAGATTATTAATTGGTCTAAGAACTTGAAAATTAGCAGTATTTTCTAAAGCTAAGCAGATTCATACCCTATGACTTGGCAATTCCTTTCTTATATATACACCTTGTAAGTAGTACAACATACTTGTATTCACCAAAAGACATGTAGAAGAATGTTTGTAGCAGTGTTTATCATACATAGCCCAAACCAAGACAGCCAACATGACCACTGGAGGTAGAATGGATAAGTAAAATTTACATTAATTCAAAAGATTCTGTATAGCTATGAGAACGAACACACTACATCTACGTGTGACAACTTGGACAAATATAAAAAGCATACTGTTAAATAAAAGGAGCAAAATACAAAAGGACCATAATGTGTGGTTCATTTATACAGTTTAAAATTGGTCAAATTTAATCTGTGGTGTTAGAAGTCAAAAAAGCTGTTATCTTCAGATGGGTGTAGTCAGGACTGATATGAGGAAGTTTAGGGAATTACAGGTGTAATAATGTTTTGCTTCTTGGTTTGGGTTCTGATTGCATGGGTTTATACTATGAAATTGCAATGAACTGTACAATTTATGACTTAGGTTTTACTTGCAAGAAAGGTTACACAGAATCTTAAAAAGCTCACAGCACTAACCATAGGAAAGCCATGTGTGAGAAGGAATTAAAAGCCTATGTGAGGGCAGATTAACAGCGATCCACATTTTCCAGGGAAAAGAGATGTTGGTAATAGTGATTAGAATGGGAGTGGGATACAGAAAAACAGACAAACAAAAAAACCTCAGGCCAGGCCTCGGTTGGAGAGGGAGGTGGGAGGGGGGATCGAGATGGGGAATACATGTAAATCCATGGCTGATTCATGTCAATGTATGACAAAAACCACTACAATATTGTAAAGTAATTAGCCTCCAACTAATAAAAATAAATGGGAAGAAAAAAAAAGGCAGCCAGAAATCAAATGCAAAAAATGTACTGAATAATTTAGTACAGCTTCAGGCAAGTTTGCTAGAGGGGAAATTTTATGAGGCTCAATTATTTTATGTTTTTTTTTTTTAATGGCCTGGAAAAAGATAGGGTTAGTTATAGGGAATACATCTAAAATTTAGCAGCAGGGAAAGAGGGACCAACATGGAACCTATATGGTACTTACAGGTAAAAGCAGGTGTCAGCCACAAATTGGCACTTACCATGGACGCTTGCCACCTACCTCTACAAGGAATCATGTGCTCCTGATCTCCAATTCCCCCCAAGGAGTCAAGGTGGAGAATAGAAATAACGTGTTCTGTGCTCCAGGAAACTGGCAGGACACGTCCTCAGATAGTTAGATTTTTCTCAGGAGTTGATTTTATAAGCCCAATTCTTATATCTCCTTCTATCTAGAAAAGCACTAAAATCCTTCTTCGTGGTGCCAATTGCTTCTCATGACTAGCAGAAGCTTCATGAGACCAGCAGAAACTTTCTACCAAAAGCATGCGCTTGATTGCATGTCCTCCCCCTTTACCAAAATCACATATATACTGACCTTCCCCCCTTACCTCTTTGCAACAGTCTCTCAGAGCTACCTGAGGGGCTGTCTCCTAGGCTGCAGTCCTCATATTGCCCCCAATGAAACTTAACTTGCAACTCTCACATTGGGCACATTTTTTTCTTTTTGTCAACACAGGCTATACTGGCTGAGTGGTACATAGATTAGTACTGGTCTTTCCTCTCTAATGTCTGCAGAGTGCTGGGAAAAATAGAGGCAGACCAGAAAAACGAAAGACAGAGGCGAAATGGGACCATTCAGTTTCCTTACCAATTTAACTATTTTCATGACAACATTCAAGTCCTTGGCCTTCCTGTGGCTATAGCAAAGGCTAGTACCTAGTCCTGCCCACTTGAGAACTACCTATGGTCTGCATGTACAGCAAATCTCTCTGAGGTTGGGAGAGAAATCAGACTCAGTGTAGTTTGAAGATACCTTGCAGAACAATTGGCCAGGACAAGATTTATTTATAGACTCACTCCTGAATATAAAAAATGATCGGCCTATAGTCCCAGATAAGCCTGTCCTATTTGGAGTTAGAAACATATTTAAAATAGAATTGATGATCATTTTAATTTACTTCATTCATAAAAGATATCCTCACTGACAAATAAAGCAGAGTTTTTAACCAGTGCAATTAGATATTTCCTTGATGAATGAGTGTTAGTCGCTCAGTCATGTCTGACTCTGCGATACCAAGGACTATAGCCCACCAAGCTCCTCTGTCCATGGGATTCTGCAGGCAAGAATACTGGAGTGGGTAGCCAATTCCTTTCTCTGGGGGGATCTTCCTGATCCAGGGATCAAACCAGGGTCTCATGCATTGTAGACAGATTCTTTACTATTTAGCCACCAGGGAAGCCCATTTACTTACTTCTATCTCTTTCAGAGTAGATAGTTGAGGGGTTTTGTTATTGCTTGTTTGTTTTTCACATTTTATTTTTCTAGCCTTTCCCACAGAACTGAAGAAGGGACATTGAAATGGACACTTCGCAGCACATGACGTTATGAAACCTCTTGTGTTCAAAGAAAATAATATCAAATGTATAAGCTGATCTGTTTCAGGATCAGATTACAGTTCACAGGTGTCTCTAATACTTGATGAATGTAATTGCAAACAGAGGACAAGCTGGATTTTAGCAGTTCCTCTTGAAAATACACTTCTATTTGAAATAAAATATTCAAGGTAGTTATTGTTGTCCAAGTACATTGAGTAACATGAGGAGCATTAAGTATTTAAGTAAATAAGATATTCCATTTCTTAAATAAGTCTTCAGCTAGATTATTGCCCTGTGAAAATGAGAAGTTGGGAACATTCTGTATCATTCTTTACACACGTTATATAATCTGTCACAACACCATTTGAGAAAGGAGATTTTGTATAGCGCAGAGGTGTTTATTTTCTACAAATACTTACTATGTTCTATTTACATAGTCCCATGATAGTATAATCAGGACATTGTCATTGCACAATTTTGTGTAGTTTGTTATAAATAATATTCAGTATAAATGTAGTCCCTCATAATTGATATAGCATTGCTGCTATTGTTCAGATGCTGTCGTGTCTGACTCTTTGCGACCCCATGGACTGCAGCACACCTGGCCTCCCTATCCTGTATCTCCTGGAGATTACTCAAACTCATGTCCATTGGGTCAATGATGCCATCCAACAACTTCATCCTCTGCTGCCCCCTTCTCCTCATGCCCTCAATCTTTCTAGAGTAAAAGAATAATATCTTGCATATTACCTTTGTAAGAAAGTACCATTGGTAGCATCACTTAATTGCTGTTAATTAGTATCCCTGCTACTAACAAATCTAGAGGAAAAAAGCATTCAGGAAAGAATAAAATAGAAAAAGAAAAGAAGACTCATGAAGATCAGAAAAAGAAGTAATACAAACAATAAACCATAACTGGCCTTGACAGTTTGCTTTATTTTGTTTGATTTTCATAAAGAATCAGTAAGGCAAGAAACCCTGAGGCTTGCCAAAGATCCCTGAGCAATTAAGCTGGAGGCAATGCTGGCCCAAGCACCCAGGGGAGCCTCAGGATGGAGAGATAGTGAGAGGCAGAGAAGAGTACAAATTCAAGTTCTCAGTGTCTAATCCTAGGACTTTTAAAGCTTCCTAAGACAAAGAAAAAATGGAGAATCAAGAAGGGAAAGTAAATTGGGTATCACTTCAAAAATATTTTTAGTAGTGTCATAATTTATCCATAAAAAGCAGAGACATTACTGTGCCAACAAAGGTCCATCTAGTCAAAGCTATGGTTTTTCCAGTAGTTATGTGTGGACATGAGAATTGGACTCTAAAGAAAGCTGAGTGCTGAAGAATTGATGCTTTTGAACTGTGGTGTTGGAGAAGACTCTTGAGAGTCCCTTGGACTGTGAGGAGATCTAACCAATCAATTCTAATGGAAATCAGCCCTGGGTATTCAATGGAAGGACTGGTGCTGAAGCTGAAACTCCAATACTTTGGCCACCTGATGTGAAGAACTGACTTATTGGAAAAGACCCTGATGCTGGGAAAGATTGAAGGCAGGAAAGAAGGGGATGACAGAGGATGAGATGGTTGGATGGCATCACTGACTCGGTGGACATGAGTTTGAGTAAGCTCCAGGAGTTGGTGATGGACAGGGAAGCCTGGCGTGCTGTGATTCATGGAGTCTCGAAGAGTCGGACATGACTGAGCAAATGAACTGAACTGAATTTATCCTGGTGAATGTATTTATATTTTCATTTATATTTCAAGATGTTTTCATTTATATTTGAAGTTTGCTTTGCACATTGAAAAGCTATTACCTAAACAGGCACAAGATAATTTGCTTGAGACAACATCATGCATATTAATACCACCATTCCATTGTTTAGGAATTTTCCAAAAATAACATTCAATTGTGTACACATATATAATATATAATAAGTAGTGGTAAAGAACCTGCCTGCCAGTGTAGGAGACATAAGAGACAAGGGTTTGATCCCTGGGTGGGGAACATCCCCTGGAGGAGGAAATGGCAATATACTCCAGTATTCTTGCCTGGAGAATCCCATGGACAGAGGAGCCTGGAGGGCTCCAGTCCATGGGGCAACAAAGAGTCAGATATGACCGAAGTGACTTAGCCCACACATATTTACTTCAGCTTGGCACTTGCAGTGGTATGGAAACCTTTTGCTGTATCAATAAGAATAAATAAGATATCTGGAACCATTAGTAAGAGAACATTTTAGAGACTTACCTAGGACTTTGCTGTAGTATGAATTCCACTCACCCCAGTAGGATTGAAATATATAGTCTTGCAGGGGATAAGATATGGTATTTTTAAGCCTTTCACCAAAGGTCATCTGGTCCGTGAGCTCGGAAAGGGCTGCGGGTACATAGGACACAGGTGCTGGAATTTTTCCGCAGTGTCTCTCCACTGTTGATGCTGGGGAGAACCTCAGGGTGTACATAAATGGAATTCCTAATTTCAGAGCAACCAGATCTCCGCAGATTGTTACTGGGTCGGCCAGCAACACATCAAAACGACTTTTCCGAAGTCTTGCCATTAACTTGGGGTTGTTTAATACTCCATCACAGATTTGTATATTAATTCGGAAGAAAGTATCTAGGAGTTTTCCTAGTTCTTTGTAGAAAGCCCAGAGTGTGAGAGGAGTCGGTCTGTGGTCTATCCACAGCATTATCATATGTTCAATTAAGGAATCTATATTGCTCTTCTTGTAGGAAACAGGTATCACCTCAAAATTCACAGGAGAGTCAGAATTGGAGTTGATGAATAGAGTCGCTGATGAAGCTAGTACAGTCACATTGTGATTTCTTTGATTCAACTCTTCTAAAATCATCTTAATATTTAACCAATGGCTACCATCCGTTGGCCAAATTAGCACATTCCCACTTAGAACAATTTCAATCAGAGTCAAATTAAAAATCAGGTGATGGTAAAACTTCTTAGGTATGGTGACATCCATTATGGAAACCATCTTACTGTAGATCTTTTAAGATGAAAAGAAGCTTTCAGCGTATAAAGTATTTAGGTAGATGATTTTTTTCAAATAAAATAATATTTAATGTGACAGCTACATTCTTTAATAACTCAACTGATCTATAGATTAAGAGGAAAACAATATAACTCAAGTTCTTAAATGCATTAATATGATTATTCCAACAAAAGAAATGAAATCTGGTGCTATTTTAAAGAAAGAGAAGCAGATGGGTTATAAGCCTGACACCTATGTTTGCTGCAGTAGTAACTGTGATTTATAAAATGCATATTCAGATTAGTATATCTTTCCCCAAATTAGATGAAAAATAACAGGTCTCACTGCTACGGCCACTTTGTCAAGACTTACAGTTCTTTCAAGTTGGATGTCTTTAACTATATATATATAGGACATTTTTACATGCATTGTCTGATTCAATCCTTTACATAGCTTGCTTGGCAAAAGTGATTCACTCCATTTCATGGATAATGAAACTAATGTTGAATTGCTTAATCTAAAGCATATTTGACAGAATAGTACAAATGGGATGACAATCATGATAATTTTTTCACTCATTTCTGACTTCTTATAATGTCATGCCTCATCTTTGTAAGTTTTAGGAACTTTGGCAATGCCCAGTGATGGACATTATTATCATTTCCCCATGGCTCATATTTAGCAAAAAATTAAAAACAAGATTCACTTAGAGGAGGTTTGCTAAAACACCTCAAGAAGTTGTTAGATTAATTGAGTAATAAATTACTACATATTTGATAGAGGACCTTTTTATTCTGTAATGAAGCAAATTAATCACTGTATCTTTGTTACAGGGGATTTTTTATTTTCTTGCCTATGATGTATTTACACACTATCAAGGAAATAGGGACCAGCACCCTAAGGAACCACATACTTTTTACTCAGAGCTGTTTAGTAGCTTAACTTAGGTGGACACTAGACTTCTTCAGTCCCACATTCAGAAACTGTCCTTTAATAAAGTTTGTGACCCTGGTGAATTACCAAGACCCTCTCAGCTTTAGAGATGATGCTAATTTGCTATATTACATTGTAAATTAGCAATAATATCTGCAAAACTTCTGCAAACTGCTTGGCTCAGAGCAAGAGTTTAGTAATGCTGGCAGTCTAATAAGTTTGCTAAAAGATTGACCAGTAAATCAGTGGGCTAGCCACAGAATCACTGGCCAGACATGGACATAATGATATCTGTTAGTTGAGGTTCTTAGTGAATACCAAATCGACCAAGGTCAACTGTTAATATACAATGGTGCTGTTTTAAAAGTTAAAATATTTAAAGGCTGCCATTAAAAAGAGAAAATAAGAACAAATAAAGTGATTAAAAGAATAGAAGGTGGGAATTGAGAATGGAAATTAATTGCTGAATGTTACCTCCATAATCTATGGCCCCTGAATTGTGTCATTTCAGGCCCCTGAAGAACAAAAGGACCAGGAAGGCAGAGAAAGGGAAAGAGGGCACAGAGAAGTGATATTTTCAGAATGACTGTGTCCTTTCAAGAGCTAGCCCCAGTTTGATTATAGTGGCAACAATTGTAAAATTAATTAGATTTTGAAGAAAAATAGCAAGAGAAGAGTATGGGTAATCTTGAGGTCCATTAGAATAGGTCTAGTGAAGAGAATCTGAAATATCTTCACAAAGAAATCTGTTGCTATTATGATCTTCTTATAGAAAGGAGACAAAGCACATATAAAGGATAACTGAAAGTTTATATGTTAAATACTGAGCATATAAAGAATATAAACTGAAAGTTTATATGTGAAATACTGAGATTTGCCCAATTATCAAAGTCCATGTAAGTATAATATAATAATTAATTAGAGATTACTGTCAATAACTATGATAACACTTATCAAAATATACCCAAGAATCAAATGCAAGTAGGCAGCCCTAAATTACCCTGAATTAAAAAAAAAAGAAAGTTAAAGAGCTCACAGAGTCAGCTTTCCACTGTTAAGTGATCTCTTCAGGACAATAATATAATTATCTATTTTAATAAAGATAATAAGAGATAACAAAATTGATTAGTAACTGATATATATACAGAGAAAGATTTTAAATTATTCTTGAATATTGAAATAATCTCATATAATCAATAGAGGTGTCTGTTCTTTTTATTCTATGGTTTCCTATATGTCTAAATTATTCATGATTTGCAAATTCAAAAATTATGAAGAGATTAAAAAATAAATTATGTTTGCGGACATATGAAGGTATAAGCTGATTTAAATTTCCATCAGTGAAAAAATAACAAGCCAAATGTGCATAATTTCATGAAAAAATAGTTTTGTAACTTAAACCAATCACACATTTGTTTGTCTTATTAGTTCACTAATAGCTCTTCTGAATAAGGTTTCAGTAATAACACTGTGGAATTGTCCTTCTGGAGACAGCATACCTCCAGTTGGCCCAATTCCACCAGTTTGTATGTAAGAAAACAGGTCAAGAGAGGTTTCAATAATCTGAAAGTCGTAATACTGGAAATGCAAAGTATTTTGGTTTTCCATCCAATGTTTTTTCTTCTATATTCTACTTTTTAAATGAAATAGTTGAGATACATTTTATAATAGTAAAAATTAGAAAATGCTATATTTCACAATTGTGAATATTTGATAATGGCATCTTAAATGTGACTAAAGAGCTCAGAAAATAATTTTAAAAGTATACGCCTGTGAAATATAAGTACCACAACTGAAAACTAGATCAGTCATAGAACATTTGTACTAATTACAATATTGTTATTGCACTTGGAATTTTAGGGGAGGAAAAGCAGGTTCTTCTGACTCATCTAAGAATTAAATCAATATGAGACAGATGAACAGGGGAAAACCCAAATTTAATGACATACAGGGTCTCCATAAGACGAGGAGATGCAAGAACAAGCTAGATAATTGATGCTTGCATGCCACCTAATGGCTCAGACAATAAAGAATCTGCCTGCAATGCAGGAGACCCAGGTTCAATCCCTGGTCAGGAGGATCCCCTGGAGAAAGAAATGGCCACCCACTCCAGCACTCTTGCCTGGATAATCCCATGGACAGAGGACCCTGGTAGGCTACAGTCCATGTGGACGCAAAGAGCCCAACAGGACTGAGTGACTAACTTTCACTTCCACTTTCATGCCCCCTGAGAGAAGGAGAAGGAGGCAGGGGCTTGGAGTTTTAAAGGGGAGGAAGAGGATTCACATGGAGATGCAAAATCACATATTTTGTAAAGGAATGTTTGCTATGCCACAGAGACAATGGAACACAGAGTGGATTCTGGTCTCCAGGCCCTGGTGCGTTCCCTACCACAGTAGCCCATGTTCTCTGCAGATCAGTCTGGGGGAGGTTAAAAAAAAAAAAAGACTTCCTGAGTCTTTGTCTCTTATTAAAAACATTCAACCCCAGATAATCCTCAAGCCAAAGAGACACTATGGGGCCTGGCAGGTTTTATTCCCCTTCAGAGTCAATTGCAGCCACATAAGTCTGCAAACCAGTCCTAACACTGTTTTAGGAACAGGAGTAATCACCTCTTCAGTAATTTCAGAGTTTTTAGCCTTTCATCAGTGCTTCAATTATATTTGAGTTCTTTGATTAGCATTTAGTTAATTCATTTGACATTTTAAACTTACATGCACTTTCTTTTCTTCCCTTCATTGTACCCTGTATAAACCTCTTTTAAAGCTCTCTATGAAGAAATGCCAGTACTGGGTTTGGCATTAAATACTTCACCACTTCCTTGCTTATAACCTCAGGCAAGTTACTCAGGGTCATTACAAAATAAGGGGAAATGAAAGTGTCTATTTTTTGTAGTTATGATACTGAGTGAAGTAATTGTTATTTAGTCACTAAGTCATGTCCAACTCTTTTGAGACCCCATGAACTTTAGCCCACCAGGCTCCTCTGCCCATGAAATTCTCCAGGCAAGAATACTGGAGTGAGTTGCTGTTTCCTCCTCCAGGGGATCTTCCTCACCCAGGGGTTAAACCTGTATCTCCTGCATTAGCAGGCGGATTCTTTACCGCTGAACCACCTGGGAAGCCCTGAGTTAAGAAATGCATGTAAATTATTCAGAATAAGAATAGCATTTGTGCTTAATAAATGTTAGCTATATTGATATTGTAGGAAGAGAATCTGATTTTAAAGTGATCAAATTAACCAGATCTCATCAACTAGGCTTACCTCCTCTCTACTCCTCAGACAATGGCTGCCTGGGGCACCTGAGCTTTAATGCAGATGTTCCCAAACACCGACAAATTCCTCCACAAGTGTTAGTCATGCTCAGGGTCTAGGTGTTTTACACATGATCTAACACTAACAGTATTCAGTTCCAAATTTCAAAAATGATTGAAGAAATACAAAGATATAAGGCTCAAGATTATACCCATAAAGATTATAACCTTCATTCCCTTACATTAAATAGGAGCAAAACACAATGAAAGTTCTTCCTGGGAATTGTGGAAGTCCTGCAACAAATTCCATCTTGGATCTCTCACCTATGGTTATCATCTGGCTTATGGGTAACTGTGGAAAAGGGAATGTTACTAGTGGTGATTTGAAAACTTTAAAGCAATCAAAGTCAATTGAAATTTAAGCTAGAAGAAGGAAGGAAGGAGAGAGGGAAGCAAAGGAAATACTAAGAAGAGAAAAACAGAAATAAAAATCCAAATCAAAATGTAATACTCTTCAGGGAAAAGACCCCAATACATTTTTTTCTACTTTAAAATGACTACTGGAAATCAGTCACTATGCAGATAATACACACTCAGATTTGTCTCATTTCTAGCACTTTATTTTACATTAATTACCTATGCTTAGTGAGTCTCTTGTTCAGGTGAAGACCTGATACTATGGTCACACTTTTTTTGA